TGAAGTTTATTTGCATGGTTTTATTGTAGAAATATTTCGTTGACAGTTTTTTTTTCTATTTACATATCATGGAACAAATTTTCTCTGTTATATCTTTTGTAGTTTTTTTTTGTTTTGTTTTTTTTTTTCTAAAAAAAGCTTATATTATGTCTCTCCTGTTGCATGTCCGTCGCATTCAGTGCTGCAGCACTTTGATTTTACAGAGTTATGCATCTTTTACTACTGTCAAGCTCTGAGAATAGTCAATCTTGCTGTCTTACTGACAGCTTTTGATTTGTTTGTTTCCAGGAATGTAGATAAAAATCTTTAAAAAATTAAAGTATTTTTCAGCATTTTTCATTTATCAAAAAAATAAGGTTGCTGACAAGTTTTTAGCTTACATACATAAAAAATAATATGTTTTAAACTTTTTACTTTACATACATAAAGAATAATTTGTTGACGACGTAGAGTTTAAAAAAAAATATATGAGCCCGGTCTTGACAAAACCAACATAATGGGTTTGCAACCAGCATGGATCCAGACCAGCCTGCGCATCCACGCAATCTGATCAGGATCCATGCTGTTTGCTTTCAAACCCTATAACAAGTAGAGCAACTGATAGTGAACAGCATGGATCCTGATCAGACTGAGCGGATGCGCAGGCTGGTCTGGATGCCTGAGCGGATGCACAGGCTGGTCTGGATGCATGCTCGTTGCAAACCCATTATGTTGGTTTTGTCATGACGCGGCTCATTTGTTGACAACGTAGAGTTTAAAAAAACATATTTGTGAGACATTAGAAGCCTCATAAATAAGGAAGAAACTGGTTTATTTTCTTCCAAGATGGTATTAGTGTTAATGTAGTTCTGTAAATTGAAACCATGGAATATTTCTGGAGGCTTTTCTGTCATTTCTCTTGTATTTATTTGATTACCCTATGTCCGTTTAGCTTTATATGTACACTTTGCGTGGCTATGCTGTGAAACGAATTTATTTCTATTTCTATATTTAGTTACAAGTTGTTTTTATTAACACTGTTCACTTTATATGAGAAACTTAAGTCTTTTGTGCATTTGATTACCTATATTTGTCTTTTTAGTTCAAAATGTGAGCTTTATATGACTAAATGTACACTTTGTGTGACTGTGTAAAACGAATTTCATTTCTATATTTAGTTACAAGTTGTTTTTATTTACACTGTCCATTTTTTGGAGGAAATATAGTTGTTATCATCATAGCCTGTATATAGAATGATATTTTAGACCATTTTCTGTGAAAAATGAAGAGTAAAAGTGGTATATCATGAACTATCTTTTCCTATTTAAAGGTTTCACATTCCATTAAAGGAACTCGACTGAAAGCTTAAAAACATAAAGTTTGAATTTCCTACATAGATCAACTAGTGCACTTAAAACAGAAAGATATGCAAAAGATATTGAAGAAATATAGTCGGAATATATTATAAATCATATTATTGCACTATTTTAGCCCGATTTGAGCAATTTTGAAAAGCTGTTAGGGGCATTTAGCCCTTATGTTTCTTGAAGAAAGAAACATTACACTCATTGCTTTGAACTGGTTCAGGTATTTGAATGGGTTCAGTGTGTTACAGTGTGTTTAAATAAGCGAATAGCTATTTCACAATCAAATTAATTTAGAAATAAATTCTGCATAAAGTAAGAGGAGAGTAAAACTGATAGAATTCCTTGCAGGGAAGAGGATGTATGTTTACACAAGTGTCAGCTGCATATTTACACAAGTGTTGGCTGTGTGTTTCCACAAGTGTTGGCTGCATGTTAACCCAAGTGTCAGTGGCATGTTTACACAAGTGTTGACTGCATTTGTGTAAGCTGCATGTAACACATTTAGTGTTGGCTGCATGTTCACACAATTGCCGGCTTCATGCTTATATACACAAGTGTCAGCTGCATGTTAGCACATGTGTCTGCTGTATGTTTACACAAGTGTCTGCTGCATAATTACACAAGTGTTGGCAGCATGTTTACACAAGTGTTGGCAGCATGTTTACACAAGTGTTGGCAGCATGTTTACACAAGTGTTGGCAGCATGTTTACACAAGTGTTGGCAGCATGTTTACACAAGTGTCAGCTTCATGTTTACACAAGTGTCACCAACAAGAAGGAAATTTAATGGGGGGAAAATGTCATTTTATAACATTTCTGCTGAGATATCTGTAATTCAGACATTAAAAAATTTTAATTAAAAGCGCATTAGGTCTCAGAAATGTGAATACGATTTTTCCTTCAGAGAATATGCCTTTCTATGTTTTATAATATTTTAATAATTGATTTAAAGTAATGGATGTTAAAAGCATGTTAGATGCTTATCTAATGGAGAAAAACAGTATTGAATGTGAAATGATTTGTCATGGACAAAGAAGAGAAAAGGCAAACCTATGTTTTATATTGAATTAGTTTGAGGCATTGATTTAGAGCATGTTAGATATGCTAACAGGATTGATTGTGAAATAATTTGTCATAAAAGAAAAAAAATGTAGACAATTCTAATAGAGAACAGGCAAACACGTATTTTATATTGTTTAAGTCATTGATTTAGAGCATGTAAGATATGCTAACAGGGTTGAATGTGAAATATTTGTCATAAAAGTAACAAAATATAGACAATTTTAATGGAGAAAAGGCAAACCTGTGTGTTATATTGTTTTAATTATTGATTTAATTTAAGCATTTTGATATGCTTTTAGCATGAAGAAAGCACCTTTGAATGTGAAATAATTTGTCATATAAAAAGAAAGAAAGAACGTAAATAAACTTGTATTTTGTCTTCAATACAAAAAACTGATTAAGTTATTTTAAAAAAGGTCCAGTAGAAAAAGATGGTTTAGCTGATAATAATAACCATTGAGGACAGTGATAAGGAAACTGTAGCATAAATTTGCATTAGTGCATGAACAGCAGAGAAACATTTTTGATCTTTTATGCACAGAAAAAAATATTTTGGACAGTTCATGCAAAATATACTTAAGAAATAATATATCCCAAACTGTGATGTTATTGCTCAATAACATCACTGTTTGGAGTTCGGATGCGGGGAATTATATCACGAGGGCGTAGCCCGAGTGATATAATGATGCGCATCCGAACGACAAACTATGATTTTATCAAGCGATAAAATCACCTATTTGGATTTATTATTTCGATTCTAACACGACATCATCAAATAAATGCTGCCGTTCCTGATAATTAGCTTAATTGCGCCTGATTTGTTTCCATACTTATTTTCAACGCGTCAGCGTCACATTTTTAGTGGTTACGTCACGTGTATAATGATTACGTCACATGTCTAAATATAGAACGTCAAACAGTGATTTTATAGCATAATAACACACACTTTCGGTTCTTCTATGTTCAATAGGGAAAAATGCGGGTCGTGTTAGAATTCTTCTTATAATATGGCCAATATGTATTGATAAGGAAAACTGTAGCAAAAATTTGCATTAAGGATCAAAAGAGAAATATTTCTATCCTTTTTCTAAAGAAAAAAAAAATGCTGCTCTAAATTAAGTGTATTGTTTTGAGACAGATCATGCAAAAAAATGGTTAAGCTTACAATATGGCCAATGTGTATCATTAATATGGAAACTGTAGCATGAATTTGCAAATATATTTGCATATAGGGGAAAAAGAGAGAAAAACATCAGTTGGGTCATTAGTGGGACTGGAAATAGATAATTTGTAGTATACTTTATTGATTTTCTAGGTGCAGAAAAAGTTGCTGTTAATATGATTAGACAGTTCATATAAGACATTATAGGAGCCGCGCCATGACAAAACCAACATCATAAGTGCGTTTGCGACCAGCATGGATCAAGACCAGCCTGCGCAACCGCGCAGTCTGTTCAGGATCCATGCTGTTCGCTTACCAACCCTATTACAAGTAGAGAAACTGATAGCAAACAGCATGGATCCTGATCAGACTGCGCGGATGCACAGTCACTGGTCTGGATCCATGCTGGTCGCAAATGCACTATGTTGGTTTTGTCATGGCATGGCTCATTAATTTGCTACTTTTGAAATCATGAAATTCTAATAAGAATATGTAATTCATCATTTCTTTTCAATGCCAGTGGATTTTGATGAGTAAAAAAAGTATATTCTTAAATTTAGGAGCTTATATGATTTTGATCACTGATGAAATATTGGTTAGGATAAAAAGTAAATTTTCAAAGGAATGGTTTATATAATTTGATTAATGGTAAGAATTTATTATTTCCATGCCAATTGTATATGTCAATATGTTGTCATAGAATTTTAGATAACAAAATCAAGAAGTAAGTTTGTCAACTTTTCATTGAAATGATGTCATCATAATTATATTTCATGATGTTACGTCATAAAATGTATGAAGACATTACTGTATATTAAAGGCACATTATGTCTCAGAAGTCCATATTTTTTAAATTCTTTAAAAATGTTAAACAAGTATTTTATAATTTTAAGTAATGGAATAATTGCATGTTGAAAGGTAGCAAAATGTAAACAAAGTAGTATTTTGACTTCCATATATATAGAAAATAAATCTTTAATACTAACATTTGTGTCTAAAAAAATATCTTTTCTATTATTTAAGATCAAATGTAAATGTCCCCCGCATGTTTTTCATGTATTTGATTTGTGCGATATTGATCAATATTGATCTGCCACAAGACAAAACATCACAGTTTTTTATGACCCTTAATTGTTACGTACACGGTGGTGCGACACGTTTTGCTAATTAGTTTTATCATGGTTTACGACAGAATCTTATCGTGGAACGCGTTACCTCGGTTTATTACGGTGTTTAGCGATATAAGGAGGCTGTTGTTTTTTATAATGATGCGACATTGTTGTTTTTATAGTGATACGGAATGTAACCAGGCATTGTGAATGCTCCTGATGACATCATAACGGGGATGGGGGTGTGGGGGGGGCTCATCAAAGTTAATTTGTCTGTATCTGTTTTATGTAAGTCATTGTTGTTGTGTATTAATATTACAGTTTTACAAAGTCAGCATTTCATGAAAGCTGGGAAATCCAATCAAAAGGCAGTATTTAGTTCTGTTATGAATACCTAATGAAAGATTTAGTTTAATAAACAATATTTTATATTATTGATGTATAACATTTTGTATTCTAGATATTAAAGGAGCTCCATTGAGGTCCATGGCAAAAGCCTAAAAACATATAAAAATTTGAATTTCATATGTAGATTGGCTTGGCACTTAAAACAGATTATTTAGTTATACAAAAGATAATTAAGAAATACTCAGATTTAATAGTATTAAACCTAGACTCATTCAATATCCTCTATATATAAATACACACACGACTATATACAATCAGATTATTGCAAACACATTCCATCCAGTAGTGTTTATTCTGATAAATAATGCATCATTTTTGGAAGTCTGGCGAACATTTTGTTTTGGCTTCGTCATATTAGATGTTATAAATTAATTTCCCTGTCTGGCAGGAAAAACATTTCACAAAATGTTAGTGTTGTTGTTTTCAATAGTAAATAATATTCACCAGACTATTTTTTCATGTCGCCTTGAAAAGGCAAGATAAAGGGGTTCCCCTTAGGCTTGTCTGGAGCATAACTCGGTCACTATAAGTTGGATTGACTCCAAACTTGGTATACATGCTTCTTCTAATAACCCAAAGTGCAATGCACAAGAATCGTTACTCTGCACTTCATAATTTTTGAGTTATTGTCCTTTGTTAATTTTCATACTTTATTTTTGTCCTGGCCATTTCTCCCACACTTTAAAAGTTCTAGTCTAGTATTGCATGTGCTAGCAATATTACCCCCAAAAAAATGAGTCAAATGATAAATGACAGGATAATATTACATGTTGTTATGTTATGCTAAATATCTTAAATGGACTCATCCATCATTCAATCTGGACAAAACCATTAATCATATTCAGGGGAAATATTAAAATAATGTACTGACTGAATAGCAAACACAGTGATGACCATGATCAGATGGCAAGGATGTGCTGAATTTACACATCTGTTCCGTCCGATCATGGTCGGCACAGATCAAGCCTTGATGGACTCAGCATGGATGTGTAGGCTGGCCTAAGGTTTTATAGTAACCCTATACTTGTTGGCGACAACTAATTCTAACCCATGCAACCAGACCAAGATCAGCCGATCTATCTGTGCTTACTGATCATGGTCGACACTGTTCCTTATTCATTATGTACATTATTTTCAAATTTTCCCAAAAAATGATTTTATGGTTATGTCCAGATTGAAAGAAAGACGGGGCTCCTTTCCAAGTGGTTAAGTTTTGATTTTAAATCTCACTGCTGTGGTTAATCCCCCCCCGGGGCTTTTGGGTTCTGGGACGTTAGGAAGTTAATCTACGAAGTCATGGTTAACTTGCAAGTGGTTAAGGGCGGCTTCAAAACCCCCCTGTGGGGGAAATCCCCCAAAGGGACTTTGGATTCCATGTGAGGAAGTTTTTACTGAACATCGGGGGTTATTCGGGAAAGAAACAATTTTAAAATTTAATTTTAAAATGATTGAAAAATTTGGTTTACTTATATGTATTCCAGGGAAGTATTAGATTTTCCGTAATTCTAACCGATTTTTTTTGATCTCATTTTTTTTTTCCGCACTGCATATCAAGGTTTATTATAATGTCTAATGATTTCATATTCCTGTATTTCAGGATTTGTTAAACATGAATTCTTGAGAAGGGATCTTAAATGGTAAATGGCACTGCCATGACGATATCCATGTGCTCCCGGTTACATCGGAAAATGACGGTATAATATTCCTTTATAACCTTGCTTTTATATTTAAATGATTTCAAAGAAAATCGAATTTTACCTTTCAAGCAAAGGTTTTTCAGTACTTGAATACTCTGGGGACGCGGAATATTTTTTGTTTCGATAATTAAAAAAATCGTCTTTCCTGAGTAATCATATTAGGTTTTAATAAATATTAGCACTAACCTGGTTTGATCAAATTCCGTTTTTGAAAGGAAAGATGAGCTAGCTTTGACATCCTTTGACTTGTAGAATATAACTGATAAAATTTCATAAGAAGCTAATTTCATAATTAAAAATATGCCACCTTCATTTATATATTTTAACATGACGTCATATACTATGTACATAGTGTAAAGACACGCTTAAAGAAAAAGATGACTCTTTTCACTTTAAACAGTCTTTATTTTTGATATGTGATATATAGAATATCAAAGTCTTGTAAACACTGAATATATTGAACTCGTTAAATATAATAATTATGCCCGCCTGAGGCTCGTATAATATAATTTTATTCCACTTGTTCAGTAAATTCAGTATTGAACTTTTTTTGCACGCATTCAATATTCTCTTATTGAATTTACATGCATTTAACATCCTCTATATATTGTAGGAGCTACTTAATAGAGAGAATTTTAAGAAGGACCTGGATGATTTCTGCGAGAAACAGAGCTGTGACGTGGTGGTCATCATGACCTTGGTAAACAATGACGAGGGTAAACCAGAAAGACAGATTGCCGTTTATTCTAAAAATAGAATTTTTCGAGACCAGGTATATAATTATTTTGTTGGTTTTGTTTGTATGGTTTTTACACCAAATTTAAATGCATCTTTGGTCATATCATAGTGGTCAGTCCAGCTTACTGGCTTTCCTGGATAACTAACCAGTAATTACCAATTTTTCCGGAAATGACCGACCACTAATCCCACATGATTGCTTAATCAGCAATGGGAGACAAATGACCATAAGACTCAAAGTCTGAGATCATTAGACTGATCCGGAATTAAGAATATTTTGGGTTTTTCCAAGCTAATCCGGGGGTACAAACGAACTTTTACACTTACAGCTTGGAAAACATTACAACAGGTTGACTAATCAATCGTGACCAGTATTGCACTGCAAAGCTATAACAGAAAAAGTTTGTTCGTACTGGGGATAAGTTTAGAAAATCCCACATTTAACAAGTTCTGGATAACATCTATTGTCATGTAGAAATTATTTGGTTTCACCCACGAATCAAACTGGTAACCCTTAGGTGGGACTGACTGCCGAGATACAACCAAAATGTACTTTAAAATCTGCTAAAAAAATCAACCAAACATACAATACTGGGTTCACTATTAGTGTGTCAAACCTGTTTCATAAAAGAAAAGCAAGTTTCATTTTCATTTTTTTGTCAGAACCACTTACATAGATATATTTGCTCTTTTGAAGTCAACGAATAATGAAAATGGCCAATAAAAAATGCAATTTCTACCTCCTTGAGTAAAATCTCCCAAGGGGCTTAATACAAGAGAAAATAGTAAACTCTTGAAAGATAACCTTTGTCATAAAAGTTGACATAAAAGTGAAAAAGAATTCCCACTGGGTTAGTTATTCAGATTTCATAATAATTCTTATCTAACATACTAATATGATGTAGGGGAATTTATACTCTGTCACAAAAAGTCATATTGGTTGAAAAAAGAGAAGGTTTTGCAGTGCAACACTCTTTGAGAAACAAACAATTTAATTGCGGAGAGATGTTGCTCTAAAGCTGTATAATAATGTAGTATAATTGTCCGCAACCATCTGTCCGTCCATTACACTTTCATGTCCGGTCCATAACTTTGGAACGCTGTAAAATAAAACATAATAAAATTTACAAGATTAAATATATTATTTCAGATATCTGACACCATGGACAACTCTGAGGACATTGATCTAGGGCTCGAACTATTATACCCACCATTTGAGGACATTTCAGTTTTTACACAGAATAATGTACAGGCTTCAAGGAAAAAGGTGATGCCAATCCTGAAGTCATTTCTCCATGGTGACATCACGCCTGATGTTTCCAGCAAAGATTTTGTAACGCAGCATTCTGTTGCCATGGCAACGGAAGGATTCAGTCATCTTGAAGTGGGTGAATCTGAAACTGTACCTGAAGAGACTGAGACAGAAAATCGTGTGAAATTCACGATTGAATCCTTGGAAAGGAGTTCAACGGACGAAGAGTTAGTGCCAGTTGAAGGTTTCGGGGAAAGTTATAAAAACTATGATTCTGTGGATTTGGATAGTTCTGGCAGTATTGGGGTTAAAAACACTGTCCACGTGCAGCAGATCCCGCATGATTTCGATCTTTCAATTAAAAGTGGTACCGCAGACAGTAACAAAACGTCACGAAATACCCAGAATCCTTTTGGAGATTTACCGTCGTCTGATTTCAATTCAGCTTTGTTGTCATCTGCTCATTCTAGTAACATTTTTGATCTTGGAATATCTGATAGTGAACTTGTTGACCCTTTTAGTTCAGTTGAAGATTCTGCAAATCCAGATTCTGTAGTAAATAGCCCAAAGACGAATATATTAGGTAAAAGTAGTGAAAATGAAACAAAATCACTTGACATAAGTGAAGATGTGGAACCACATGTTAATGAACTGAGTGAACTTGAAGGAAATAGTGAAAACCAAATTATTTCTTGTGATACTGGAAATCCAATAGTTAAAGAAGCTTCAGTGAATGAAGATGATGAAATATATGCTCAAAATGGAAATCCTTTTTTAAGTGATGATTCTGATAGGTCAGAACAGGTTGTGAACTTTCAGTTGAGTGAGTATGGTGAGGATGGTAATGCAGCTGACGATTTTTTCAATACGAATGACAATAATGCCAATAAGTTTGGCGCTGTTAACTTTCTAGATGTGAATACGCTAAGGATTGATCATCCGCCGGCACGGAAATCAGCGAGTCTGATTGTCGAGTGTGACGATAAATCGCAGGCTGATGATTTAGCTGAACTTGAAGAATCGGAACTCTTTGATAAAATGAATACACCGGGTCATTCCGGTGAAAATAGTCCATTTGCAATGTCCGGTTTGAACTCCCCTTTTATCAATTCTGGCACTGGCACCCCTTTTGAGTTACCATCGAATTACCATTCCAGAACGACGTCTGAATCCGGTTTCCCCGACATTGCGCCGCCTCCAAATAGTTTAATGGATACTGGTTTCAGTGAAGATGATACAGACAGACGGTTGCCGAGTTTCAATAGTGCGGAAATGGTTGACCGTATTCAGCAGAAAAAAGCTTCTCTAGGAGGGGGTCAAGGTCTTTTCGATCTGGATGAAAAAGCTGAAGAGTCGAGTACTCCGTACACACCTCAGAATAGTTACCGTGAAGAAGGATTGTTCATGCGAGATAATAGTCTTCCTAACCTGATGGATTCCGATTTTGTTGAAAAAGTTCAACAGAAAAGAAATTCTCTTTCAGCTAATCTTCTATCCTCGGACACTAATGAGAAGACAGAAGTTAAAGTCTCCTCAACAAATCCCTTCGGAGATTTTACTGATGCTACAATTGTATCAAATGTGCCATCTTCCAATCCCTTCTTTCAAACCAACGAGCAAAGTTTAGAATTTGATCCATTCGGACCCATAGGAACATCTACTGATGAAGACAGCGAAGTTGTGCAAGGTGGTGCATCTAATCAGGATTTTATGGGAGATTTAAGTGAATTTAAACCAACTGGTGAAGTTACTGCTACAAATGAAGACATTTTGGATATATTTGGTGATTCAAGCACAAACAAAACAGAAACTCTTGTAGAAAATCAAACCAGTTCTCAAGATTGGTTTGGTTTTTCAAGCTTTGATGAACCGACTGAGTCTAAACCGGACCATACTTTGAATCCTTTTCTCGCAGAGTTTGAAAACAATGCACAGACTGATCAAGATGCTTTAACTGAACCTGTCGATAAAAATGTAGACACAAGAACTAACTTGTCTATTGAAACTAGTGAATTTATTGACCAGCCAGTTGAAACAAATGAAATTAACGACCAGTCTGTTGAAAGTAGAGAAAATGGTGACCAGTCTGTTAATACTAATGAAATTATTGACCAATCAACATTGAAAGCACTGAATGACTCAGCAAATTTGGAAGCAGCTGACACTGTCTCAGAAGCGTTAGCAAGGGAGATAATTCATAATGCCATAGAAACGTTTCCTGACTTGTCCAATCCTTTACTTGCGACAGAAATGATGCAGAGAAATGATGCTGATTGGACAGAACAAGGTTCCGGGGATTCTGGGATAGGTTCTGCCGGATCTCCACAACAAGGTATGTTTTATGCTTATTTTTAAAGATTGTTTATTCAAAGCACATACTGCAGTAAAGAATTGACACCAACATGGAGGCGTTCTGCTTTAAATTTTCATGGTTTTATATCATAAAAATGATGCTCAAATTAAGATTTGTCAATTTTGTAAGTTCCAAAAAGCAATATTCATAAAGGTATTACGGAATTTAACATTTCATGTAAATAAAGGGAGGTAATAAAAAATTTATTTTCATTAAAGTCTAAGTCAAATTTTTCATTTAGAAATGAATGCATATATTTTAATGATTGCATATAATATGTACAAATATTTGCAGTACATATTTTACATATTCTTCGATGTCTGAAAAATGTTTTATAAGCATAATTATATAGATATATATAATTTCACGCCACTCAACTACGACATACAGGATCTTTTAAGATGTTGGTTTCATAGTAAAATCAGAGATCGAAAATCCCACTTGTCTACTTGTAATTACTAGCAGAATTTAATAGAACTCGATGCAGACCGAGTAGAAATATGTTGCCTGCACATTGGATTAAGAAGCTACTCGTCCTGCAGCACAAGTGACTCTGAAAATATTTTCGATGCCTGAAAATTGGTGACAAATCATTGGATGTCAGGGACAATCAGTGATATCTGCTACAGGATTATGATGACATTTGTCAGAGCTCGTTAGTTAATTGATGGTTATCAACGGCTTTAATCATGACTGCCTGATTCTTGTAAAATCAATATCACTAAGATGCTGTGTATTTTTGGAAAAAGGCAAAACCTTTGTCCTTGATGTCCTGAGATAGGAAGATAAAATTTCTCATACAATGTAAATGATATTCATAAAGGATATTGAATGAGTGTAGGTTTAATACTGAATTTACTAAAGTGAACATATAGGTCAACATTGGGCACTTTTTCCATAACTATTTCAAATATTGATAAAAAAAAGCAATAGAAATATACCATTTGGATATTCTTATGGAATGTTACTTGAAAACAAAAAATGATGTGAATGTTTTATGTGATGCCATAGAATGAAAATTTTTATGATGAATGATAATATTTTGTTATAGAACATTTTATTATTGACTATATAAATATATTAAATATCCCATCATGTATATCACACTTGCCAACATTACTTTCAAGTATAATTCTTTCGCAATTTGTTGTTATGTCTAATACTAAATACTTTAAAGGTAACTATTCATTGTATCACAGACCTTTCATTATAGACCAGTTCACTTTAAACAAGTTGTTTTTAGATAAGATTATATTATGTGAGCCTCTGGTGAGCATTATAGTGTTTTATTCAATGAGTTCAATGAATTTAGTAATAAAACTACATAATTATAATATTTACTACGGAGTAGTGGCGACATATAGGGATCACTTCTCCGTCGTCTGTCTGTCCGTCTGTCTGTCTGTCCGTCCGTCCGTCACAAAACTTGTCCGGACTACTTCTCATAAACTACTGGTGCAATTTCATCCAAACTTTACTGGAATGATCAGTACCAAGTCTAGTTGTGCATATTGTCAGCATTTTCCGGTTCAATGATTTTTGTCAGAGTTATGGCCCTTTAATAATTTTTAATTTTAAAGTTTGTCCCGACTACTTCTCTTATACCACTAATGCAATTTCAATGAAACTTTACAGGATTGATCTGTAGCTCAAGTCCTTGCGCATATTGCACGGGTTTTCCGGTTGAATGATTTTTGGCTGAGTTATGGCCCTTTGATAAAAAGGTTTCTTTTTCTGTGTGTTGCCAGATACACAAAAGCTTGTCCGGACTACTCCTCATAAACTACTAGTGCAATTTCATCCAAACTTTACAGGAATGATCAGAACCATGTCTAGTTGTGCATATTGTCAGCATTTTCCGGTTCAATGATTTATGTTTGAGTTATGGCCCTTTAATAATTTTTATTTTTAAAGTTTGTCCGGACTACTTCTCTTATACCACTAATGCAATTTCAATGAAACTTTACAGGATTGATCTGTAGCTCAAGTCCTTGCGCATATTGCACGGGTTTTCCGGTTGAATGATTTTTGGCCGAGTTATGGCCCTTTGATAAAAAGGTGTTTTTTTTCTGTGTGTTGCCAGATACACAAAAGCTTGTCCGGACTACTCCTCATAAACTACTGGTGCAATTTCATTCAAACTTTACAGGAATGATCAGTACCAAGTCTAGTTGTGCACTGTCCGTCTGTCACAAAATTTGTCCCAACATGAAATTGGCCATCATGAGGCGACACATGTGATTACTGATCGCTCTTGTATTTATCACATATCCAAAATAAGAAATGTTTACAGTAAAAATAGAATCACTTTTTCATTGACACTGCTGACTTTTAGCTTGTCTTTATGCTATGTTTGACGTCACGTCAGAATATATGCACAACCTTGCAGTATTGTTTTTACGGAGTGGCAAAAGCGGCATCGGTATGTGTTAATGATAATATATTTTTGTCTAAGATAAAAGGTAAATTTTTTCAGGTATAAAATTATATATATTTTTTTGCCTCAGATATAAGATAAAAAAAATTTATTCATTAATCAAAAGACCAATCCAGATTGAAGGAAATGAGGAAATCTTTTTTGTCAGTTGAGCTTGATTTTCATGAGAGGAATTCATTTTAATAAAATGGCAGTTCATATATATAGCAAAGAAACATTGTGATTACCTCAGTAGCATAAGTTGGATCAAAATAAATACAAATAAGGAACATTTTGTTCTGTTTACGTACAATTTTCTTGTTTGTTAAATAAATATTGTTCGACTCTCTAATAAGAATCAACCATTGAATTAAATAAAACTCTATTTTATGTGAATAGATTTTATCGAAATATTTCATTTTACCCTTTGAAATTCAAGATAAGACATTTGCATATTTTTAACCAGGAAATTTTTTTGTTGTTATTAGATTGGTGAATTTCGGTGGGCATTTTCGTCGTAAATAATTTCATTTGTGTGCTATTCCTCCTACATTTCTCATTACATTTTAATCTATCTTTCACAGAATAATTTTCATTAAGTGCCTTAAATTGTCCCGATTTTATTACTTGATTGTGGAATCTTATAGGTCACCCCATCATGAAATGCCTAAGCGTACAATTGTTAAAGGGACTCCACTGTGGGTTTTTTTTTACATGACGGGACTGAAAAAAAATTCTTTTGAGATTTTTATATAATTTGATGTAGGTCTATACTACTATAACTTGGTGGCGCGATAGCTCAGTTGATGAGACCACTGACAGTCACTCCTGAGGTCCTGGGTTCAATCCTGGGTAAAATCCTTTTTTCAGAGACACTTTCAGTGTTTTCCACCTACCTAGAGATGTACTAGTAAGAAATCCAGGTAACCATAGCATGTATCAGTGCTATACACTGGGCATGTAAAAGAACTAAGGTGTCTATTCAATATAAGCTAGGGACTCAGGTTCCTGGATTCCCTTGTATCTCAAAGCTGTCTCTCAATTCAATGTATACCTGCTTAGTGTAATTGTAAAATGATTTTGAAGCAGTATTATGTATCTGTGCATGACTTATGTGTGAAATGTCAGATCATTCATTCATTCCGTTTTTAGAGAATAACTATTTTTATCATTTAAATGCTTTTAACTGAAGTCTGACTTACCAATTTAAGTTAATTCTGCATGTATTTCATCATCATCATTTTCATATTTTTCTGTTTTTTGGCTCCAGTTGATCTTTGTAAAATTTTCAAATTTTATGTCTTTTAGGCTTTTGGACCTCAGTGGAGTCCCTTAAAAATTTTCTCTTGGGCAATATAGTCTGACAAAAAATCTTTTACACTAGTTATGTAGGAGTTATTTCCCCTTGATACTCAAATTTCCTTTTTTCTTTGGAATTAGAAACTGTCATAATATCTATGTTCAACATGCTTTAAAACAAATCAAACAGAATCCATTTATTTAAATCCTGTTTATTTCAAGGACAAGGTCAAAAAAATCAATTGCAGCACTATTTAACATTTCATAACCCAATTTGTTCCGGTTGAATTAGAGCAAATTGTTTTCCATTTTAAACAGTGGTCTCTAATTTCAAAATTGATTTATAACTTAATTACTAATTGAATTAAATAGCATTCATGAATGATGTAATTTGTTTACTTTGGTTTTTGTCAGAGAGTTCACAAAAGTACTGTTCAAACCACTTACCTCTCACTGTTACGGTTCGAATCCCTACATGGACTCTGGATTCTTTTATTTGAGGCAGCTATCCAGCTAGCTAACGGAACGTTGTTGGTTCTACTCAGGTGCCCATTTGTGCCTGAAATAACGATGGAAGAGCACCTAAGGTCTTCCTCTACCAGTAAAGCTGAACATCGCCATATGACATAAAACCCAATCCAACAAACACGATAGTACTGTAGCTTGATGAATATTTAACCTATTAAAGAAATATTTTTTTGGGTGCGATAATAACTTTTTTTGTGCTATCAGTGTTAGGCCAGGCCAGCTTCCACGTCTGTGCAGCGTGACCTACATATTGTGGCACAGTAATTCAGGTTGTTGACTTAAAACCACTTGCCCTTAACTGTTGTGGGTTTGAATCCCGCCAAGGACTTTTGGATTCTTTCATGTGAGGAAGCTATCCAGCTAGCTTTCTTTGAAAAGTCAGGTTCTAGTCAGGTGCCCTAATGCAAAGATGGGCACTTAAGGTCGTTTCCCACTAGAAAAGCTGAAAAGTCGTCAAAAAAAATGATCTCTACTGTGTTGGTGCAACATAAAACCCATTCAAATAAAAAACAATACAAAAAAAACAATTGCATATAATATTGTAAATATGTCATTCTTTATTGTCATCTATTTAATTTTCATGAATAGAAATAGTAGTTCTAAAGTACCGGTAATTGCAGAAAAAATCTGATCCTGCATTACCTTTTAATCAATAATGGATAGTTCTAAATTCGAAGCAGGGTAAATCCATTGAGAAAAAAACAATTTGATCCTACATTACCTTTTAATCAATAATGGATAGTTCCAAAATCGAGCAGGGAAAATCCATTAAGAAAAAAACAATTTGATCCTGCATTACCCTTTAATCAATAATGGATAGTTCTAAATTCAAAGCAGGGAAAATCCATTGAGAAAAAAACAATTTGATCCTGCATTACCTTTTAATCAATAATGGATAGTTCTAAATTCAAAGCAGGGAAAATCCATTATGATAAAGGTTAATGAACAGATAATGCTAATGTGCGACAACGACGATGACAGAGTGCAACAAACATTTGATGTGTTCCTTAATTATTGATTTATATATACAACTGTGGTTAAGACTAAATTGTAATTGAAAATTTTAAATGCATTTAAAATTGGTGATGTGTTCGCACCTCGAGGGGATAAAATAAACGTTAAAATTAACCAAGCCAGGAAGTGTATATGTGTATGTCTATATACGATGTTAATAAATAATTCATTGGTGTTTGAGTATGTACTGACTGTGTTCACTAAATCCTGTAACATAACAAATATAGGGAAGTAACTACTTGATGATATATACGTATATTCAACTGATTTTTCTGACCATCTTTATTGTTTTTGTTGCTCGTAAATAAGCATCTATATATGGAATATTTATATGTGTATTCTTCTGTAATTGGATAGTTTGTTTGTAAAAAATATTTCTTTAAGGTATGTAACTTTGATGTTTGCTTTTTGTTGTTGTTTTTTTTTCACCGTTGAAAACAAATGTATTGATCCTTTTATAGCATGCAGCAGAAGTGCTATTTATAGAAATGTTTCTTACTTTCGTTACTTGCCTGCAACCAGTGCAGTACTTATTTTGAAAATTTCCATAAGATTGATGAAAGTTTTGGTCCTCGATGAAAGATGGACAAGTACAGTTAAGATATTTAGCTTGATTAGCAATATGCATGTTCCATAGTTAAGGTGAAATACTCCTCACAGGAATCGGTAAAACATGTGCAGGTAGCCTCTATTCTATGAAAATTTATCTCAAAAAGAGGCCTCTGTGGCCAAGTGGTTACGGTCATGGAGTTCACACCACTTGTACTTTACTGCTGTGGGTTCGAATCCAGTAACTGACTGTGAGGAAGTTATCCAGGTAGCGTACGGAAGGTTGTAGGTTCTATACTCGGGTGCTCACTTGTACCTGAAATAATGCATGGAGGGCAACTTAGGTCTTCCTACACCAGTAAAGCTGAAAAGTGAAATACTCCTTACAGGAATCGTTAAAACATTTGCAGGTGGCCTCTATTCTATGAAAAATTTATCTCAAAAAGAAGCATCTGTGGCCGTGTGGTTACGGTCATGGACTTCAACCCACTTGCCCCGTTCAAATCCAGTAACTGACTGTGAGGGAGCTCTCCAGGTAGAGTATGGAAGGTATAGGCTCTATACTCAGGTACCATGACTTGTGCATGACATAATGCATGTAGTGGTACCTGAGATCTTCCTACACCAGTAAAGTTGCCACTTGACCATTATTACATTGTTCATGTGACTTAAAACCCAGCAAAAAAGAACAAAACAAAAAATGCAAAGTTGCCACTTGACCATTATTACATTGTTCATGTGACTTAAAACCCAGCAAAAAAGAACAAAACAAAAAAATGCATGAATTAAGGAATTCTTTTAAACGTATCTTTATAATTAAAATTTTTAATAATTAAGACTTTTGACAGGTTAAATGAGTTTTATGATAAAATAATTGCTATAAAAGACCTTTAAGTTATATGACACAAAGCAGTTCATGTTATATAAGCTTACAGTCATCTTTACTGGGCCATATAACTTGTCAAAAGTCCATATAAGTAATATTATACTGGAGGCAAAGGAAAGTTAATACTACAACTAGAGGTCAAAAGGTCAATTATACAGCTTGAGCAACCTTTAATTAATTAAGTTATAGGTTGTATACTTTCAGTACCATTGATTTTTTTGTCCATTCAAATGTGATGTTTTCAGATGATAATGTCTGAATCCTAGAAATAATGTCTGATTAAGCTTCTAATTATAAATGATGCCAATATAAAGTCTGGTCAGTCCTGTGCAGCCAGACCAGATTGCGTATATTTGGCTGCTAGAGATGCTGAAATCCCCTATAATAACAACATCCAAAAATTAAAGTCGGAGAAGTCTGCAAAACAATGTTAGCAGGGTTTAGATTAAAACAGCCAATAAATATGGTTTGTAAATGAGATATATTAACTGTAGCTAATAAAGTTTTGAACATTAAAGACAAAATTAACAGACTTATGGCATATACCTGACTAAGCTAAATATCTAAAATGGACTTGTCCATTTTTTCAATCTGGACAAAACCATTCATTGTTTGTAGGGTAAATTTCAATTAATAGCGAACAGTGTTGACCATGATCAGGGAGCACAAATAGATGGACTGATCTTGGTCTGATTGCGTAGGTAGAATCAGTTGCCACCATCAGAGTAAGGCTCAATATAAAAAGCCAGGGCATAAGCCTGCACATCCATGTATGATTATATATTTACATGATAGGACCAAAAGGCGAAGCTAATAATATATTGCATGAATAGTTTTACATTAAAGGACAAAAAGGCAGAGCTAATAATATACTGTATGAATATATTTACATTATCAGACCAAAAGGCTGAGCTAATTATTTTTTCTGTATGAATATATCTATCAAAGGACCAAAAGGTGGAGCTAATAATATACTGTATGAATATATTTGCATTATAGGAGGAGCTAATGATAAACTGTATGAATATATTTACATAATAGGAGGAGCTAAAGATGTACTGTCTGAATATATTTACATTATAAGACAAAAAAGCGGAGCTAATAATATACTGTATGAATATATTTACATTATCGGGCCAAAAGGCTGAGCTAATTATTTTTTCTGTATGAATATATCTACATTATTATAGGACCAAAAGGTGGAGATAATAATATACTGTATGAATATATTTGCATTATAGGAGGAGCTAATAATATACTGTATGAATATATTTACATAATAGTAGGAGCTAATAATATATTGTAAGAATATATTTGCATTATAGGAGGAGCCAATAGCATACTGTATGCATATATTTACATAATAGGAGGAGCTAAAGATGTACTGTCTGAATATATTAACATTATATGGACAAAAAGGCGGAGCTAATAATGTACTGTATAATATATTTACATTATAGGACCAAAAGGTGGAGCCAGGAAGTTGAACCATGATTATTCAGTAGAGACGGAGTATTTACCCAGTATGGATCCCCTTCATGGCAGCCTTAATATAACCTCGACATCTGACACCCGCAGTATAGAAACAGACGCTGACAAAGAGGTGAGAATCTGGATTTTTGTTTTCCTATTTAACTTATTATGAATGATACCTGTAAAATTCAGTTTCCTTACCACTGTAAAATTCAGTTTCCTTACCACTGTAAAATTCAGTTTCCTTACCACATTATTAGGATTTCAAAGCGGCTTCTGGTACGAACCAGAATATCTAGCTCGAGGGTTTTTCTTTACGGCGGTAACAAGGCTCTTTGGAAAGCTTGATATTACTGTCTGTGACAACAGCTTGTGTTTGATTCTTTGTCTTGCATATTACATATTTAAATGACATTTTGAAAAAAAAATTAGGAAATTAAAAGTTTATTTTCCTTATAGAAGCGTATGAATTTACAACTTTATTCATAATGACAAATGATGTCATGCCATTCATTCATAAAAGGCCCGATGGGAATGACGTCATTTAAAACATGTGACTTGTCTTATATAGGGGGGATGTAAGACAAGTTTTTCTAGCACCTGTGTAAACAGCATTATATGCAAGAATACAATATATATTCCAGTTCATTATGAATTAACAGCTATATCATTGGATTCATTGGTTGCATGTACTGTGTGCTGGTATTGGCATCTGCAAGAGATTTTCACTTATAACTTGTGCCAAAGGGATGTTACTCTGCCATTACTATATAATAGCTTGCAAACTGGATTGTTTCCCTTGTTATTTATAAAACTTGCATGTTTGGTTGGAAATCAATGGAATGGCATGTGGGGAAACGCTTGAAATGAAGTTTTTATTATTTATTTGTTTTTGTTGTGGTGTTTTTTTTCCTGCTTGCATTGTTTTGAGGTTCGAAAACAGTCAATACTGAAATTGTATCATGATTTACTAAAATCGTTTAGTAATTTGAATAAGGAAGAAAATGGCCATTGTGAATGCATATTTTGTGTGACTTACCATAAAATGCTCGTTAGTTTAAATCACTTTAAGTTTGATTTTAAACCGATAAAATTATTCATTTATTTATTTTATGCAAAACAAAAAAAAGATTATATTTGATGATTCCAGGTGAGTGTATGTTTTGCTATGAATTTTGTGTCTATCTAAAAAAAACAAACAAACTTGCCTGGACAATATGGTGTATATCTGTGCTAGGTCATTGTGGTGCTTTTGTTTATGCTGCAAAATAGCAGGAGAATATGTTCAACTTTCAGGCATGTCATAAATGCTAATGTCAAAGTCCCTACTTACCCCTGGGCGGGGAGTTGGGGTGGCAATTCAGCTCACAATTGACTTCTGCATTAGTTTTTTAAAAAAAATTGGGCGTGGGTGGGGTGTTGGATAGAATCTGAGGATTGTGATACATTTGAGTAGTGACTGTAATTTATGTGTAATTATTATAATTATACTGATTATTTTCAGATTTAGAATTTGTTTTTATTTTGATCATCTCAAGGTATATGTTTGGCTTTGATTTTCATTTTCTGCGTGCTAGTTGGGAGATCTCCGTAGTTTCACATGTAATGTAATTACTCAGCTATAAGACTGGACCACTTATAAGACAGGGGTCTTAATTTGGACCATTAATAAGATGGGGGTCTTAATTTGGACCACTTAATCAGATAGGGGTCTTAATTTTACACAAAAAATGTTTGTAATGTAAGATAAAAGATTTTAGATATTTGATCATTCGTCATTCATCTGAATGGGTGTTAATTATATTTGAAATGTGACAGGCAATGTATGTGACATTCTTTCACAACTCAGAGATCTCCCAAAATGCATTTTATCTAATGGAGTCAGCATTAAGTTTATAACTTACTTAAAATTTAAATTTTTTATCTCTTGAACTTAATTGGCAGGACAAAACTCATTTTTTGGTGACATCTAGGTGGTCTGTCCACCTAATTGTCCTGGAGTACAAACCAGCAATTACAAATTTCTGTACATGGGACATTAATTCACTGAATCAGCTGTGACAGACAAGTGACCATTAGATTCAATGTCCGAGAACTTTCATCACAGAGAAATTTTTTAACCTTGCTAAAGGATATAACCAGCGACCCCTTGATTGCAAAACCGATGATCTTCCTATTTAACTTTGCAAAATGATACATTGTTATTTTCAGAAAAAAATGAATTAAGCGTGTTTAAGAAATATTGTTAGGCAAGCCTTGATTATAGAAGTTTATATATGATAAAAATTTCATGAAAATATCTCTATAAATGATGTATAAATGATATATGTACATGTATGTGAACAGTTTGAAATTTCCTGACATAATTGCCAATCTTTAAGTTAATTTAACAGTTTGCATCGATGTCAAGAAAACAGGAAAATTGTCATTAATCTTATTTGGTCAAATTTAAAAAAAAATTTTTAGAATGCTTGCACTTGACAAGCTGCCAGGAAACTCGGATACTTTTCTTATACCAAGGCTAATAATATGATGGATCCCAGCACATCTATTCATTTTCAGCTTCTCTCAAGTGATGTATTGCTAGTACTCGCTAAAATTTTCTCGAGACAAAATTTTAAAAAAGGAAACAAAACTGCAGAGAGAGAAAGAGAGACTTGTTCTGTATGAAGTAGATTGAATTAGTATAGATTTCCCGTATATGATATATCTAAAAGCCAAGCTAAAGCCACTAATGGCATTTCTACAAATAAACATTTTTTCCGAGTCGTGTCTCAAAATGTGATATAATTGACTCTATTTGCGGAACATGGTCTTTCCTAGCGATAACTATGACGCGTATAATGGACGACTACAAAAATCTCATATGACAAAGCATTTGGCTTTTACGTAGTAAATGAATACAACAATATGTTAAAGTAAGGTTCTTGATGCATTGATTTCTTTTAAAACAACTATAAGAGATCACTCAGAAAGAAAACACGTAATTTCTTTGGTGGATTTTTTTCTGTTTTTTTTGGTTTTTGTTTTTTTTTTAAGTTTTTTGAAAAATTAATGGATTATTAAAGACAAAGGAAACATTCCTTAAAGGTATTTCTCACATCAATATTTATTGATATATCATCACTTTATTGCAGTAACAGATTAACTCCTGTTATATTTTAAAAGGACTTAAACCATTATTGCACTAAGGTGACGTTATAGAGGATATCTGTTTTATGTTTGTGAATATCGACTACCGCATATCTCACTTAGAGAAGTGAAAATTTTTAATATTTTCGAGAACAAGAGGTGAAAATATTATTTATAAAACATCTCAATTGAAATGGAAATATGGAGATTTCACCATACTCAAGAAAAAGAAAAAAAGTTTTTGTTTTTTTTAGGTATTTAGTAGTTTTTGCATTTTAATTAGTCAGACATTACTGGGAAAAAATAGTGCAAAATGATGTTAAGTATTATGAAATAGAAAAAAAAAACAGAATTCCTAAATAGTGCCCACCCACTTGTGGCTGAGGGGTTGCTTTTTCGTGTTAAGACATCAGAATTTGCTGCCACGTTCATCCATGTTTGATCTTAAGAAGCATCTTATGGGTTTGAATTACTGGAGTCTATACCTCTATGACCTTAAGGTTAGCCAAATCATCCTGTTTCGACAGCATATGGCATAAATTGTTTTGCAGTGCGGTAAAACCAACAAAATAAAATAAAGAGCATTAAAAATGGTAAAATTGAAAGTGCCATTAACAAAAATACTTTGTATGTAAATTGTGATTTGTATTAAGTGCTAATTGGCTTTGAAATAGAAGTATTAGCTCAATGGAAGAGTATCAGAATCATACATGTGAACTTTTTTCAATGATCAAGTGGGAGATTTTTCTTTAAAAAGAGGGAGATTTTAGAATTTGCAATAAACAAAGAAGGAAGTTCTGAAATCAAAAATAGGTAGATTTCTTTAATTTGTGAAAATACCCCTTATTTTAAGAAAAATCTTTGAAAATATGGCTGCAGGAAGTGGTAGTCTCCCGCTAAAAGTGGGAGAGTTCACATGTATGCAGATTTGTTATCCAGGGGTCGTGGGTTCAATCTTCGGGCAAGTTGAAATTTCTCTGTGACAAATGATCTCTGGACATTGAGACGAATGGTTATTGGTCTCTTATCCCTGATTCAGGAATGATGTATAGATAGTAGTAGGTCACATGTGGAGAAGTTGTTAATACAATTGTATTTAAAGTTCATATGTGTATTTGCAATTGGTTAATATCATTCCTTCACACAGATATGTATGTTAAGTCACAATGGTATATAGATGGTATTTTCATTTTCTTTGGGACTGTATTAGGAGACTACCTGTCATATGTGACCCTTGGAAGGTCTAGATTGTTAATGGTTAGTTATGTAAAACATAAATGAAATGTATTTTTCATACCAACTTGATGAAAGGCCCATTATGATTTGATTTTATTTCTCAAAAGTTTTTTTTTTAATTTTGGTGTACATTCATTATAGTATTCAAAAAATTATTCATTAGTCACTCATTAGCCATTAGGCCTGAACCATCTTTTTCACAGATTGCTCTTTGGCAATAAGTACAGTTATATTGGACTTACTGCCAATACATGTATTTTATAAATATGTGTTTAAAAATGTAGAAAATAACAAAAAATTTATAATGGTAAATTGAAATAGAAAGAGGACTAATACTTTATATTTCACTTAGTTTCAAACTGTGTGGTTTGACTTTCATTTCTTTGATGTATTTTAGTTTTCAAAAGCATGAAATAAACATTTTATATGAGGGAAATGCTGGCTCCAGTAGATAAAGTGCATGTTTTCAATACTTACATAGTTTCCTACTTTTTAAGAGGTGCGGGTATAGTTATTAATAGGTAACTGTTTACTTATAAATACTAACTGCTTTTCATTTCTATGCTAATATGATTTTCTAATTATTCATATTCATCCTTTCATTGCTTGTGTATCATATTGTAGATAAAATAGATAAAATTTAGATACACCCCTCTGAGTGCATCATTTTAGGTTTGAATCCCAACAGGGACTGTGGATTCTTTCATGTAAGTAAGCTGAGGTAAACCAGAGTCGGTGGTTCTACTCAGGTGCCTGTTCATTCATGAAATAATACACAGAGGGGCACCATATGTCTTCCTCCACCAGTAAAAGTAAGAAGTCGCCATATCAGACCTGCACTGTGTTGGTGCAACATAAAACCCAACAAAAATAACAAATTAAAACTCTCCCCAAAATAAAAAGAGACTTACATACTTAAAAAAAAATCAAACTCTAAAAAAAAACCAAGAGGTTAAGAAGATGAGTAAATATTGACCTATTACCATGCCAGATATCTTTCAACCTGGACAAAACTGTTCCATTATATTTTAGGGATTTTTTTTCTAAAATGAGTACCAGTTTTGAAAATGTTAACAGTACACCAAAAATAAACAGCATTTGTGAAATGATAATGATAGCATTTTTAGGGCTTTATAAGCCTTTAAAGATATTTCTTGCGAAGCCTTACTAAGTTTTGCCCTACATTTTTTGCCATTTTTTATAATTATACGAATCTTTACTGTTAATGTAGCTCCTCTGAGATCCAAAATTAATGCTAAGAAATATAAATTTGGAATTTCTTACTTAGATCAATTTTTGTACTTAAAACAGAAAAATGTGCAAGAGATAATATTAAAGAAATATACTCAGTATTAAATTAAAAATTATATTTTTGTTCCATTTTCAGTCCGATTTGAGTTGAAGGCTTTCCGCTTTTAGGTCATTTTTAACTATAAAAAATTTGTTCTGGTAAAAAAAAACAGTGTGCAAATGGTCTGAATTTTGCACACAAGTTAATAGTGTTTCATAATTGATTGTCATTCTGCTTCACAATGTCTCTAAGGTGGGCAATCCAGGGCCATCATGACCCTCTTGTTTTTTTGCCATTCTTTATTAGATTAGTCCTGATTTAAGTAGGGTATTGAGCACTTGGTTTATAGACAGTGTTTCACTTTGATTTAAAGGTGATTGTGTATATGTGTCAAAGGTGAGCAATCGAGGGCCATAATGGCCCTCTTGTTTTTCTGCCATTCTTTATAATTATAGAAAAAAAATCTTACCTATTAGGACTAGTCCTGATTTAAGTAGAGTATTGAGCATTGGGTTTATAGATAGTGTTTCACTTTGATTTATAGGTGATTCTGCTGTAGAACTGTAGTACGAAGGCTTATTACACTATTTATTGCAGTACACACGTTTGGTATTGTATTTCCAATAAGGAAATTGCCGATAACATTGTAGCATTACTGCTGTCTCATTTAAAGCTATACGTAGAAAATGGACTTAACATGTTATTTTTTCCAGCCCAGTTACCTTCAAATATACCTGTAAACAAGATCTTATAATTATTTTTGTTTATTGCATTCATGTTCTTTTCTGTCGTCATTTAATTCCTTATGGACATGAGTTATTGGATTATACGTGAATAATTAAAACAGTTTAATGTTCTGACTTTAATTGAACATCAAATGACGGGAAAACAAATGGAAATTAAATACTCTTTGCAAAATTTATCTGTTCGAAAAAACATAACGTCAACGAGAGTGATTTTATTTTATGCTTCTTTAAAATTGATTTCTATATTAAGTTGGATACATCTTAAATTGCCTCTGGATACCTTTAATGAAAGTATTATCCATTTATTATTATTCGTTATTGATATGCACTTATTGATGGATATAAAGTAATGGATATTTATCTTGCTTTCAGGTCGTTGAATCCGAGTCATTTAGAAAAGTAAGCAGCGAAGGTGCAACTCTTGTTTCAGAACAGGCTTTGAAACTTGCCATGTCAGCAAAAATGGAACACATAACTGAACAAGGGGATAACATTCCTGATAAGATAAGGGACATGATAATTAATGATAATATTCAGACGACCTTGACCTCTGAACAACTGGAGGTCACCAATGCTTCAATAAATGTTGGTGATGATTTATTTAGAACAGATAATGTCCAGGCAAACTTGGCTTCTGAACAAGTTGAGGTTACTACAGATACAAATATTGATTCTGATGATATTTTTGGTACAGATATTCAGTCAACTTTGACCTCTGAACAACAGGAGGTCACCAACGATTCAATAAACGTTGCTGATGATTTATTAGGAACAGATATAATCCAGTCAACCTTGAACTCTGAACAAGCTGAGGTCACCAAAGATGCAAGTAATGACATTTCTGATGATATTTTTGGTACAGATAATTTTCAGTCAACTTTGACCTCTGAACAACTGGAGGTCACAAAGGATTCAATTAACATTGCTGATGATTTATTTGGAGCAAATAATATTCAGTCAACCTTGACCTCTGACCAAGATAAGGTCATTAAAGATGCAAGTAATGACAATTCTGATAACATTTTTGGAACAGATAATTTTCAGTCAACTTTGACCTCTGAACAACTGGAGGTCACAAAGGATTCAATTAACATTGCTGATGATTTATTTGGAGCAAATAATATTCAGTCAACCTTGACCTCTGACCAAGATAAGGTCATTAAAGATGCAAGTAATGACAATTCTGATAACATTTTTGGAACAGATAATTTTCAGTCAACTTTGACTGAGGTCACTAAAGATACAAATATTGTGACAGATGATGTATGTGAAGCAGATACTCAGTCGTTTGAACAACTTGAAGGTTCCAAAGATGCAAATAATGTTCTGGATGATATATCTGGAATGGATAATATTATTCAGTCAACTTCAACATCTGACCAGCCAGACAGCAATGCCATAAATGCTGTAGATGAACAATTTGGGCAAACTGGTGGACAGTTTCAAACTTCGCTTGAACCATCTGCAGCTCAAAGTGATGATTTATTAGGTGGCACAGATACTGCTGAAGATAACTTAAAGGAAATCATTGATCAAAATATCGGAACAATGGATCTAGCGGGTTTGTCAGAACTTGATGATGCCCTGAGTACTGTTAGCAAAACAAATGAAGTTTCTAGTTACTCAGAAAACTTAACAGATGTAATAGAGACTGTAAAAGAAGGGATATTAAAGGACAATATTGAGGCTAGTGCTGTTGATATGAATCTAGGTAACAGTAACAATAATCTTGTAGGTGTGTTTGACGATCAATTTCCCTTTGATAATGAAAAGTCAGAAACACTTGATTTGGAAGGGAATGTTGTAAGCTCAAGTCAGGTAGAAATGTTGGCAAGCCAAGAAAAGGACAAAGTTGAAAATGAAGGCTCGCTTTTAGATTTCACCAATTTTGAAGATACAGGAAACAAAAGTGACAACATTGAGAGTAAAGCACCACAAGAGGAATCTGATTTCTTTAATAGTTTAGCAGAAAGTAGTGAGACTAAAGAAGAATCTGTAAATAATAGTGAACCATTTGACTCTAGTAATGTTGATGTTTTTAAAGTTCTTGATCATATAACCTCAGAAAAAAATCATAAAAATGAAAATGAAATGTTGAAAGACCAAACCTTAGAAGACTCTGAAGATGTAGGTGCGAATGCAACAAATGACGAAAATAATGAAGAACTTGATGATGAATACATTGAAGAAGCTGACACAAATTTGGATGAAGATTTTGAAGAAGGAATTGTAAATAAAGGTTTTGTGTTTGACAGTACAAGTCTGTCTGATGTTAACATCGAAAAAGATTCAGAAAGCATGATTGAAGAGGAGAGTGGTAGAAATAGTGCTGATGAAATTGTCGGAAATGAATCAGAAAAAGATGTTGATGAATCTGCAGTAGATGAGTTAGAAAGTAAGGAACCTGATTCACCTGACATGAAAAAGAGTGACAGTGATAATAGTGTAAGTTCTGATGCAAGTAGCAGTTTCCCTACCACTTCTGAAAGCGAGTCTGAACTAGTGACTGTTAGGGAAAATGTAAATGTAATGACAGACTATGGTGAAATATTTAGAGAGGATAGTTCATTTAATCAGCAAGAGGGAGGTCAGGTTACTTTATCAGGTGCTGCAACTGAACTAGAAGATAAGGGTCCTGATGAGTATCAAGAAGTAATTGAAGAAAAGAATGAATCTGAAAATGTTGATTTAGGACTGTCTGAACAAAACATATCTGATAAACAAGATGAACGTGTGGATTCAGAAATAAATGAGAAAGAATTTAAAACTTGGGTAGAAGATAAAGAAAGGGATTCCACAGAGGAATTGAGTGCAGATAAAGATGATGAAAGCATTAAGTCAACAAAAGATATCAATTTGATGACAGTCAGTGAAGGAATGACAGACAGTGCTGTTACAATTGAAAGTGTCTCATCAGTTGAAACTCCTTTAGAAGAGCATGTAAGTGGTTTTTATGAAGTAAATCCAGAAATTATTTGTGAAAACACGGCAGAAAATTTACTCTCAAGCTCAGCGTATGCCACAAATCTCGGTGAAAATGAAACCGGTTATTATGGAGTAAATGCAGAACAAGATACTATGATTGCAAGTTCAGTAACAACTGAAAGCATGTCTTCGGTAGATACACCTGAAAATGAAAAAAATGTAACAGGATTTTATGAAATGAATGCTAGTCTTCTTGAACAAGCCATAGAAAAAGATGACAATCATTTCTTGAATATAGATGATGCGTATTCTGATGCAAGTGCCTCACCTTTAGAGACACCAGAAACGGAAGAAATGAAAGGATTTTATGATATAAATGCTGAAAAACTTGAAAAAGCCATTGAACGAATAGATTCTTTAGATGTTAATAACTCCTTGATGGTCGATAGCACATACTCTGATGATAGTAGTGTGTCACCAATGGAAACTCCAGACATTGAGAGTGTAAGTGGATTTTATCAAATGAATGAAAGTGTTGAAAGTTCAAATCTATTTTCTGACCCTAACGCTGTTGAGGATAAAGAAACTGAAAAAGCACCGCTTGGGCCAGATGATGCCCCTGAAATTAATATAGAACTTGTTGGAAGTCCCAATAACAGCAGTAAAGATTCATTTGATAGTGAGACTGAACCTGACTTTGAGCTCAGTGACAACAAATCAATGGAGGAAGAAAGGAAAGTTAATGAAGAGACAAAAGCTGCTGATACTTTAGAAGATGATAAGGATCTGTTTGGGCAGGATTTTATTGAAAATGATGATATTCAAAAAACAATTCATGATAAAGAGTCAAAAGCTGAGGGTGGTGATGAGGAACAGGCAAGGCAATCTGGTGAGTTTGATACTGCCCCTGAAATCATGGTTGAAATGACCACAAGTACTGATAGTGTAGAGTCACATGACAGTGCTGAAGAAGGGTTCTATGAAATGAATGCTGAAATTCAAGGTACCATGTTACAAAATATAGCAATTGGTAATGCATTTTCACCGATAGAGAGTCCAAGTGAGGAAGTATTCAATTTAGATTATGAAATTAATCCAATGGTACCTGATGTTAATGATATGAGTAGCTCTCAAACATCGGATGATATCTCTACGAAAGCTGACCATAAACCTTTTGTAAGATTTGTTGATAATGAGAAAGAAATAGATGGAAAAGTGGAAGAGATGGCTGATGTTTTAGTTGAAACAGCCTTATCTGAAGCTATAGGTTCACTGCAAGAACAAATATTCAAAGATACTGCTGAAAATGAGAAAGATGATAAAGATGAACTTGCTGAAGATATGATTGTTGTAGATAAACCTGAAGATAATGAGAAATTTGTTAAAGTAGCTGATGATCTTGTCAACGAAGCAATTGCTAGTGCAATTGAAGTGGTTCAAGAAATAAGATTAAGTGAAGAAGAACAATTTATTACTTCAGAAATTGCTAGTGCAATGAAAGAAAGTTATGATTCAAGTGATTCTGAGGGCAGTTCTACTACAACAGAGGGTAGTTATAGGATTGTTAATTCTGTTGATTTCTCTCCTGCTGCTACACCTGATAGAGAGGAAGTTAACTCCCCTGAACTAGTAATTGATAAAGATCATTTAATGCAAGATGATATTTTTGAAGAAAATGATTTGATTACTACGGAGGGCTTAGATAATATTATTGATAATGAAAGAACTGATAAAGAATTGTTTACAGACATAAATGAGAGAGAAGACAGTGTTGTTGAAAATGAAGTGACTGCTGAAATCGATACTTCTAGTGCAATGTCACAATATTTTAATGATGAAAACGGCAATATTACTCTGGAAACAACAGATCCATCTTCACAGTCAGCTGTAGAACCTGAAACAGCTGAGCTTGAACCTTTAAATGAATGTGATTTAACATCATCCGGTATTGTAGGTAATGATATAACTAACAAACTAGAAAGACAAGAAACACTGATCCCTGATATAGTAATAAGTAAAGAGGACACGCCACCAGGTTCTGATGATAGTGAATCTGAACTTGTAAATAAAACAGACATAAAGCCAGAAACAGAAAGTGAAATATCTGAAGTAGAGGAAGAATTGATTGAAAATGTATCTGTGTCTAATGTAGAAGCCAATGCACATGTGATGGATAGTAATGAAAGTACAAAATATGGAATGCAGGAAGAAGAACTAAATGATAACACTAATGATTTAGAAAAGATTGAAAGTATAAGCCAAACTAGCCCAGAGAAAACAGATAACACGAATATTTTAGATGAGAATGAAGTTCATGAAGTAAAAAGTGAAATTGAAAGTGGACAACAAACAAGTAGTGAGGAAAAAGATGAAATGGCTGAAATTTCTAGCCAGGTTCTAGTCAGTGAAACTGTTGAAAAAAGTGGAAATGCTAATTTGGAAGGCGTCCAGGAAGTAGTTGAAAAAGATATTGTTGAAGATAAAGCATATTTTGATGAAAGCAACGTTGAAAAGGAACTTCAAATAGTTGAAAGTGAGATTATTAAACAGGATACATCTCTTGCTGAGAGTGAAGTTGGTGTTGTTAATGACACACAAGAAGTTGTTAGCTTTGATGAAGTATTAGATAAACCTGAACAATTTAAAGCTCTTGAAACATGTGCTGTTGAAAATGGTACATCATCTGAGCTGAACAATGAACAAGAATTTGTTAGTGAAATAGTAGATGAAAAAGTTGAACTTGAAAAAGTTGAGAATGAAAATAAAATTGTTTCTGAGCATAGCAGTGAACAAACTTATGAAAATGGAGAATTTATTGGTGAAAGTGTGAATGAAAAATGTGAAAATGTTGAAATTGAAAAGATTGAAAAAGATACTGATAAGCAAGAGGGAGTCACATATCATAATATTAAGGATTTAGAGAGTGAAAAAGAAGAGAAAAAAGGTGCAAAGGGCAAGAAAGGTTCAGCGGAATATGTGACGAGGAAAGAAATATTTTATACATCAGCTGGACGGATGAGTATTTCTATAGACAGTGTTTTAGATCCTCCAAGTGACACAGATCAAAGTTATACAGGCGGACAAGATATCATTCATGAAGAAACACATGAGGTAAGTGTATATTTTATGTAATCTATAAATAGCTTTGAAATACCTTTCTCTGTGTGGTTAAGATATAAATGTTTGTAAAAAAAATAACAGGTCAATATCAGAGTATAAGAAGAAGCTAAGGTAAATGAGGTTTTATATATTATACACTGATATCCCCTGGTTATGACAAACGATTTTTGTCTTGTCTTTATTCTGTTTTGCCTGCATTTCTTCATAATGTTTGTGTATTTTTATACTGTTTTAAACTTCTTATGAAAAATCATTGTTGTCTCTTCTTGCTTATTCTGTGTACCTTACTTAACAGTCACTGTGTATATATAAACTTTTTGATCTGCTTTTATGGAACTTAGGTACCAAATCAGGATGTATGTTTACCATTACCTTTTCAAAATTTGGTTCCACCTTTTAATAAATAGTTTAAAGATGAGGATTGCCTTGTAGCATAAATTTATAGGAAGGTTATTCTTGCTTGTATATGACACTAATTTTCCTATTTCACTTACACAAGCATGCCACAATTCTCCCCAATTTGATTCTTGTGCAGGTATGACACTGTTTTCAAAATTTGATTAGGACAGGTATGCCATTATTAAGCCAACTTGCTTCACACCAGTGTGCTACATATTAATTGGCATCAATACTTTTCTCTAAATGTAGAAATAGAATCAATAAATAATCTTGGTATAAAATGACTTGTTGCATGAAAGACAGATCAAAATGTTTGCTTCAAGTTTTCACCTTGTTAACACTGTATGCTTTGCTAGTGTTGCTTGCAATCGCTTTCAATGTTTCTACAGAAGATACTTGGTTTTAAGTCCAACTTTTGGCACATATAATGATACACAAATATAATATTACGTAATATTTTAACCTTTTGGAACCAATCAGAATAGAGCCAAACTGACAAAACTGTGGAATGTGGATGCATTTTGAATTTCTTTAACTTCAAATGGACTGATCCAAATTTAAAGAAATAACAGCAGGTTAAAGGTTAATGGACTGAAAACCAAGTATACTTGTTATTTAGGAAATGAGTACTAAATATAAAGATGATAGGAAAAATTACAGTTTAAGTCAGTCTGTGGGTCGACTAGTTGGACGGTCAGTCAGTTGGTTGGTCAACACATCAATCATTCTATTTTATTTTATTTCTTGTACACATTCTTTTTGTATTGTTTGCTTAGGGTAGGCAGGTATCCTGTATCTTAGCCCGCACAGGTAGTGCAATAATGCAAGCAGACCAAGTGCTGACAAAGCTCAGTGAGGCGACCATTGCACTGCAAAATGATAGTGCACGAAATGTACGAGCCAGCTTTGTTGATATTGTCAGTGATGATGATACAATATCTAATCACTCACAGGTATCTTCTATCTCATCATCTACTTTGCTTATGCTTTAACTCGTGTAATAACCATGTGTTTAGTTCCTTCAAAGCATTGCTTTTATTCGTTGTATGGCCGTGTCTATAATTGTATCAAAGCTTTTTTTTATCATCAAAGCTCTCCATTGACTTAATAGTATGGCCGAGTATTTGAGCTTCATTGAAGCAACATGACAGAATACTGGCATTGTTTTTGGCAATGCATATAATCAGCCCATGATTTTGCACATGCACTCCTATTTATTTTAGTTTTGTTTTTCAGAAATTTCACTGTGCTTATAATTGAATTAAGACTGGGATATTATTGCTTATAATTGAATTAAGACTGGGATATTACTGCTTATAACTGAATTAAGACTTGGATATTACTGTGCTTATAATTGAATTAAGACTGGGATATTACTGCTTATAACTGAATTAAGACTTGGATATTACTGTGCTTATAATTGAATTAAGACTGGGATATTATTACTTATAACTGAATTAAGACTTGGATATTACTGCTTATAACTGAATTAAGACTTGGATATTACTGTGCTTATAATTGAATTAAGACTGGGATATTATTACTTATAACTGAATTAAGACTTGGATATTACTGCTTATAACTGAATTAAGACTTGGATATTACTGTGCTCATAATTGAATTAAGACTGGGATATTACTGCTTATAACTGAATTAAGACTTGGATATTACTGTGCTTATAATTGAATTAAGACTGGGATATTACTGCTTATAACTGAATTAAGACTTGGATATTACTGTGCTCATAATTGAATTAAGACTGGGATATTATTACTTATAATTGAATTAAGACTGGGATATTACTGCTTATAAATTAATTAAGGCTGGGATATTATTGCTTATAACTGAATTAAGACTTGGATATTACTGTGCTTATAATTGAATTAAGACTGGGATATTATTACTTATAACTGAATTAAGACTTAGATATTACTGTGCTTATAATTGAATTCAGACTGGGATATTATTGCTTATAACTGAATTAAGACTTGGATATTACTGTGCTTATAATTGAATTAAGACTGGGATATTATTACTTATAATTGAATTAAGACTGGGATATTACTGCTTATAAATTAATTAAGGTTGGGATATTATTGCTTATAACTGAATTAAGACTTGGATATTACTGTGCTTATAATTGAATTAAGACTGGGATATTATTACTAATAACTGAATTAAGACTGGGATATTACTGCTTATAAATTAATTAAGGCTGGGATATTATTGCTTATAACTGAATTAAGACTTGGATATTACTGTGCTTATAATTGAATTAAGACTGGGATATTACTGCTTATAAATTAATTAAGGCTGGGATATTATTGCTTATAACTGAATTAAGACTTGGATATTACTGTGCTTATAATTGAATTAAGACTGGGATATTATTACTTATAATTGAATTAAGACTGGGATATTACTGCTTATAAATTAATTAAGGCTGGGATATTATTGCTTATAACTGAATTAAGACTTGGATATTACTGTGCTTATAATTGAATTAAGACAGGGATATTACTACTTATAACTGAATAAGGCTGGGATATTACTGCTTATAAATTAATTAAGACTGGGATACTATTGCTTATAACTAAATTAAGACTGGGATATTATTGCTTATAACTAAATTAAGACTGGGATATTATTGCTTATAACTGAATTAAGACTGGGATATTACTGCTTATAACTGAATTAAGGCTGGGATATTACTGCTTATAACTGAATTAAGGCTGGGATATTACTGCTTATAACTGAATTAAGGCTGGGATACTGTTGCTTATAACTGAATTAAGACTGGAATATTACTGCTTATAACTGAATTAAGGCTGGGATATTACTGCTTATAACTGAATTAAGGCTGGGATATTACTGCTTATAAATTAATTAAGACTGCTTATAAATTAATTAAGACTGGGATTCTATTGCTTATGACTGAATTAAGGCTGGGATATTACTGCTTATAACTGAAGTAAGATTGGGATAGTATTAACAATAAATTTTACCTCTCTAGAACAGCACCTCTCAACAGCTACCAAAATCTATGTCTCAGAGGGTGTTGCTCTGCAGAGGTTGTACTGTATACCATTCACTCAATTATGTAAATCACTTTGTGTTGATCTAAATATGCCGTGGAATGATATAACAAAGGTTTAGTCTCTCAGACACCATAATTGAGACAAAATTGGAAAACTATATTGATTGTCGCTGTAACAGGGGAAAAAAAAACAGAACATTTCATAGAAAGCGGCTGTAGTTATTGCACATCTTCTTTGGCCAGTTTCCAAAATTCCATCAGACTTGAGCAGTGTAATATATATGTATCATCATAGTGCACATATTTACTAAGAAATATATTTGGAAATTTCTTGGACTTAATTCTATAACTGTTATAAGAAATAAATATCAGTAAGTTTTATACAATTTTTCCAGATGTTTATATCAGTCAGATTTTCTCAGTGAGAAAAATTAATGGAGATTTCAAATGTTTAGAAATATCAGCTGATGTAAATGTTTTAAGGGTACTGTAATTGACTTACTGTGTATGGAAATACGTTTGAGCATTTTGTTTAAACCATGATTCTTTGAAGGTATATAGGTTGTGATGATTTTTGTCATATTTCATATCATTGTTCTTTGTAAATTAAAGTGTTGGGTGTTTAATTTTAACCTCGCAAGCGGGCCATTGCTTGTGGGTTCAAGATTATTCAGTTGTAATAGTCATGTTGGGTGTCTAATTTTACCTCTCAGGCGGGCCATTACTTATGGGTTCAAGATCATTCTGTTTGAATAGCTGTGTTTTGCTTTATTATGCAATTATTGGCCAGGCTAAGAGGAAATGGACTTTAAAATGGTTCATTTAAGGATTGCAGACACTAATAAACATTCAATGCTAGCCACGATATTGATATTTTCTCCAAAATAAATGTTGGAAAGTACCTTTCTTGTTTGACAAATAATGTACTAAAAATGGAGATTATGAAAATTGGCAAAGAAAAGCAATTATGGTTTTGGGTTAAATGGGATATTTTTGGAAATGAGTTGTTACAAATTTCGCTTTTTTAGTAGGGTTCATAGCCCTTGAAGTGTACTTGTATTAAAATTATATATTGTTTAACAAAGTCATACCTTACTGTTAAAATAATATTATTCTTGGAAATAGTCTTATGATGTTGTACATTTAATTCTAACATAGAAACCTCAATGAAGAAAAGGAATTTTGGCACTTTGCAGATTTTCAGAGAAACTGTAAAAAACTATTTTCAAGTTAATTAAGAATGTTAAATAATTGAAAACAGGCTTTGTAAAACCACAGACAAAATGTGTAGGATGTTACATTGTGAAAGTCTGAAGTGTTTTCTCTTGATACAAAGGTTTGACAAACATAATTCAATATATTAACATGATGGTTTTAGCTATGTCAAGTCAGGTTTTTCATGGATCAGTGCTCAGCAAAAATAAAATTACCGGTATACTAAGTAATACATATGTATATGGAAACGGTGTAGAGAGGCAGTGGATTCCAGTTGTTTAAGTCTTTCAGTTTCTCAGCCTAGGGGATCTTAGGCTCAAGACCTTCTTGAACAGTGACC